CAGGCCAGGGATTGTGGGGTGTCCTGGGGGAGAACTGGCAGGCTGGGAGGAAAGCCGCAGAGAGGAGGGTGCTGAGGCCCAGGGTGTGAGAAGGAGTTGGGGCAGGACTCCACCGCAGAGTACCAGGGGTGCTCTGCCCTCACCCGAGGTGACCCACTGGTCTGTGTGGAGGGCCTCAGCAGTCCCATCTCAGCCTCTGTGCCGGGAGGGGTGAGGCTGCTGAGTGCCTTGTTTGAGTGCTTGAAAAAAAGATAGTATTTTTGAAAAGGAAAAGATGCGAATAGTATTTCATGGATCATACCTCCAACATAACTTCTTCTCGTGTGTTTGCTGTGAACTTTAACAGTTCACATCTCCTAACACGTGCTCTGTTTAAGTTCTTCGTGCTCTGTTTAAGTTCTTCGGTCTAAAGTCATTTGGTACCTGCATTTCCATTGCAGTCAATAGGTGGACTATGACAACTAAGCACCTCTAAGCATGAAGGCATGAGACCATTAAGGCAGATTTCTTTAGATGTTCATGCCTTAACATTTTTTCTTCTCCTTATCAGTTCAGTTTGTTTATTAGATTGCAGCACGAATAAGGTTATAGAATTAGAGGCTGTCTAAAACAGGAAAATGGTTGAGACTGAAATACTCTTTTGTAGTGTGTTTCAGAACTTTTTGAACTGGGAAAAGTGGGTTAAGCCTCCTACTACTTAATTCTGTTGAAACAGGAAGTGGGCAACAGTCAGTGACAGGAGTTGAAGCTTCAGATGATGCTAACAGTTACTGGCGGATTCGTGGGAAAAGTGATGGCGGCTGCCAGCGAGGAACACCGGTGAAATGTGGGCAAGCTATACGACTTACCCACGTTAACACAGGAAAAAATTTACACACTCATCACTTCCCATCACCACTCTCCAATAACCAAGTGAGTTGTTCTAAATGTTAAGCTTTTGTATAAAGCTTTTTTTTTTTTTTGTATAAAGCTTTTGCATGATAGTAACAATACCTCTTTCCAGTTTTTAATATTTTTGAAGAATCAGGCTTGGCTATCAGCTGCCAGAAATGGTATGTCTGTGCATATCCCAAGTGCATCTTGGAATAATATATGTAAGCTCTTGACAGAGGAAATTTTAATATGTATCAGTATTGCACAGTAGTTTAACTAATCTATATTGGTTTCTCTATACTGCGCTACTGCTAGTGGGAAGACTGTTCTGAAGTGTTTAAACACTTTCAAGGTGTAAGAGACTGAGTGCTTTCCTCAACATCATGAAGTTTGCTCTAGAGCCAGGCAACAGATTATGTATTGTGACACTAGGCATTCCTATATCCAAGTCTTTTGCTGATCCGATCCATTAGTTTCAGTTTGCTTCTCCCTATCCTTATTTTAGCTCCCTATCCTGATATATCTGTCCTCCTTCAACAGAAATCTGCTCTCACAATCACTCTTATTTACTCTTTTGTAATTTCATAGAACAGTGATTCTGACTGTAACTAGGTCCCAGCCTTGTTCATAAACAGATGCTTGTCCAAGATTAAAAATCTCTCTTAAAATAAATAATCTGCATTTGTTGGGAGTTTGTAATTAGTAATCTTTTTAGTCTTCCTTCAGGCTATGTAGATAGGTCTTTAGATTCTAAGCCAGAAGACCCAAGTCTTTGTGAAAAAAGGTTTGTCTTTTACCATGTGTAAAATGGCTGCAACAATAGGGTCCAGTTTTGTTTAGGATATCTAGGTTATATTGTGATTAAAACAAGATCAATTATTGGAAAGTAGCGTTCCAGAAAAATAAAGAACAGAAGGACTCTTAACACTTTCCACCAACTCTCATTTGTGAGTTTAGGCAATTCATATGACATTGTCGTTGATGTAAAGATACTCATTAACTGTCTTTCTTTTCTCTTTGTTTTTTGCTATGTGTCTGCACAGTATTTGTGCAAGAGAGAAGAGTTTGGGTGACTTCCTAGAGGTTGAAAGGACTCTGACTTATGACCTTATTGAAATACGAGGTGGTTCTGAACACAAACTTCTATTTCATATTCTTAGCAAAGTAGTTTGACCTTTTAATTAGCATATTGTCTTTAACGCTTTTTGGGCTATGTAAATTAAAAGTAACATGGCCCTAATTCTTTAGGTTACTAGGTATAAACGATTTCAGTTCTATTTTCAAGTTGTTAATCCCTTCTGGTCATGAGGTTATTAATAATTAAAGGCTATACTGAATCCTAAACAGTTGGAGCTGAGCCTAGCAGGTTTCTTCAAACACCTGAAGGCTTGTTTTTGTTTTGTTTTTTTGTTTTGTGCATAATGAAATTTAGTCTTTTGGTTTTTATTTTAGCAGAAATTCCATTGCTTTAATGGCACTTTTGTTTTTTTTTTAAAGTGTAATTGAACTAGCTGTTTGAAGTAAGACTGCAAAAAAAAAAACCCAAGAATAATTGATAAAATTGATAACCCAATTGAAAGCTCAGTAAAATTAAGTAAAAAAGGAATATGATTATTTATAAGTTAAACTGTTGAGACTTCAGGGTAAAAATGTATTACACTAAGAAACTATTGCGATGATAACTACGAGGTCAATCATACTACAAAATAAAATGTCCACAGTTACAAATTTTGTCTAGTGGGGAGACTGAAGTCTGTATCAACATCAGTAGTGTTTGATTTGAATTTTTTCTCTGAAATATTTTTCTGATCTCCATGCTCCCAGACTCTTACTTAATTTGTAATGCATGTTGGGGTTTATTGACACTTTGTGTTCAGATTATAATGGGAATAAGTTACTGCTTCTGGATTTGACAGCTGTATACAAAGCAATGAGACAGCACATCTTGTTTCTTCTCCCTCTTTGCCTTTAAACTTTCTACTGACTATATGGTTGATGTTTTTGTGTGTGCATTGGAGGTATTTCCTTACATTTTCACTTCAAGAAGTTTGTGTCTCTTAACAGGAAGTAAGTGCCTTTGGTGATGATGGTGAAGGAGATGACCTGGATATATGGATTGTGCAGTGCAGTGGGACACACTGGGAGCGGGATGATGCAGTGCGCTTCAAGCACGTAGGAACCGATGTGTTCCTTTCAATAACTGGGGAACAGTATGGCCATCCAATTAGAGGCCAACGGGAAGTTCATGGCATGCCTACTGCTAATCATCACAACTATTGGAAAGCAATGGAAGGAATTTTCATCAAACCCAGTATGGACCCTGCAAAACATGATGAGCTCTGAATTGGTCAGAGGATCCATAATGCTTCTGTTTACTCCAGTGTTGGGAGATGCTAATCCTTGGCCTCTTATAAGTCCTGCCTTGCCTAAGTGACTGACTTTCTGTATTACTGAAGGGCATTAGTTCATTCTAGGAATGCAGCACTTCTGTGGGGAATGGCATCTGCCAGGATTAGACACGTAAAGTTGGCAAAATCCTCTCTCAATTTTCAAGTTTAATTGGTGAAACTAGTTCATATGTCTGTTAGTTTTCACTGTAATTTGTTTTGCTTGTCACTTTTTCTCAAATCCAAAGGAAATGGAAAAACTGAAGTAATGGATTTCTGTAGTCCCAAGTACAATAAAAATTCATATTTTGTAATCTTTTTCCAGTTATAATTAAACATTGGGAAACTTATTTCTGCTTCTTAGTGAGAGAATAATACTAATGAGGGGCATGGAGTAAGCCTGGAAAAGGAAAAAATAGTTCTCAAATATGGTTTGGCATCAGCAGTTCAGCCTTCGTGAAAAATATTTGTGGTCGTTTGAAAATCACTTCCAATATCTTTTGTGACTTCCAATGTGTGCTATATTGGAGAGATACAAATATGTACGTTGGAGTAAGAAGATTTAATTTTCACTTTCTTTTAATTTCCTTTTCTCCCAAGAAGCTTAGATTTTTTTTTTGGCAATGGTGATACTGTTAATTATCCAATGGTGAGACTGTTCTGCTCTAAGAATTGGAGCAGAAAGCTACTGTTTATGAAATTCTAATATTAATTAAACAAACTTCCATGTGGTCTGAAGGAACAGTTGAATCTGACTTATGCTGTACTTGCAAGCCACTTTGCAAGATCCATATGAGAATCCGGATGAATAAATAATGGGACCCATGTGGGTGTTTTTGTTTGGATCTAGAAAAAGAAAGAAGAATTAATCTTAGAGAATGGTTAGGTCCTGCATTTTTGATGGAGTGGTGTGCTCTATAGTGCTAGCAAGGAACTCCCTGTTTCCCTGAACAGTTTATCTGATTTTCTTTGTTCCTCTCCCTCCCTGTAAAAAGGGAACAAAACTAACTCTTGAATGTGTTTGTTAAACAGTGCTACCTGAAACACTGATTAAAATTCAAAATAACATAAGATGTTTGTTTACTTTAAACAGAAAAGCTCAGTAAATGAGCGGTGAAGAGTTAGAAAATTAGGCGTTCTTGTCTCCATGAGTAAATGGCTTACTGATTATGGTGTTAATTAGTCAATCAGTTAAAGAAGCAGGAAACATTTGCTGCTTTTACGACTCCTATCACATGCTACACTTAGTTTGAGGGAGCTGTGCTGAGGAGGTGTAACAGGCAGTTGCATTTAAGCTTTACAAATACTGATACATGCTTCATGCTCTGGTCCATCATACAGTTATACTGCACAGACTAGCTTCAGTTTTTGCTTTAGGGTTTGAAACTAGCAGATTTTTCTTCATAACCTATGGAACAAGGAACTTATTGAGTACCTGGTTATTATCCTTCAATAAAGAGGTAAGACTTTTTTTTTTTCCTATGAATTTTAGCTGAATGTTGCTCCTCAAGGATTACAATCATTTTGGAGACTAAGCGGACTATCTTTTGCTGTTTTGTATTAGAAGCAATTTTTTATGCAATGAATGTTTTGGGTTCACTGATGTTCCTGACAAATTGTTATTGATGTTACAGATACAAAAGATAAATGCAACGGTTTTCTGCTTAACAAGCTGCCTTTTCCCTTATTAAAAAGGAAGGCTTTTCTTTTGAAGTTGGTATTTGAGTAACCACAAAAGGAGTGGTAATGTCTGGCAGGAGGAAGAGGTGTACATTTGGCAAAGTGTTCTATATCACTGTGGGCTCGATGCTTTATGCTTAAGTCATGTAGGCTTAGTGTTTGTGTACCCGTGGGATGCTGAACAAATTGAGAAGGAGTAGAGATAGGCGGCTCATCTCAGTCTGCTTACCAGGTACTATCCCCACTGGAAGCTTATCTGTATTTGAAGACTTCTGTCCCTGGCTGGAGTGTTGTCAGTGTTGCTAATCATGCTTGAGTGGATCTTACTGGACCTCCCTCTCTATTTTCTGGATTTGAGGCAAACTGAGAGCTGTGAGAGAACAAAAAACTTTTTTGTTGTTTTTTTTTTTTTTAGTTCTTATTGCTTCCTTCCTAATATGATCAGAGTTTTGAAAACACCTTCTATTTGTAATGAACTATGTTTTCCCCCATGAAAGTCTTATTTGAAAAGCTCTTTAATGTAAACTTGAGCTTCCTTAGCTTCTGATTCTGACTGAGATGAAGAAATCACTTAGGCTGAATCTTTCAGTTGCATATATGTCACAATAGATTTGTGGGTGTGTTTGGGGTTTTTTTAATTGTTGTTGGGGGGTGGTTTTTGTTTTGTTTTTCCTCCCCAGTTCTTACTGCTATGAAATTATGCTGAAGGACCCTTGAATAAGGCTGGTTCAAGTACATCTTAGTTTGGAAAGGTCTAACAAAACAGTAGTTGTTTTGGTGGTACTCATGGCATGCTAAATGCAGACTACAAAGGCCATGAGTTAATGTAGGAAACGCAAGGGTTTACAGCTGTGAAGACTATGTCTTGTGCAAGTGATAATGTGCTTTCCTTTCTACGTAACTTCTAGACTTACAGAAACTGCACTGATATCTGCATCGTGTCTTCTTTTATGTTTTAAACTGAAATGCTGAGACTTCAAGCTCTCATTCAGGTGTATTATTGTTTACTCTGACTGCTTATAAATCACCTTTTTTGGTCTGTCCCCTGCAGCTGAGGACTGGGGACTTAATTTTTAAGTTTATAAAAGAAATTCAATGTTTATATTGCTAGGTTTGGTTGTTTTTTTCCTATGGACTTTCCTTATCTGACTGAAGAAGTTGGATCTCTGAGTAAAACATGAAATGTTGAGAGATATATACGTGAAAATCAGGAATGCTGTCTTGTTTCTATTGTTTAAGGCAGTAAACTAAACTTTGTAGTACTACTTGTCAAAATTCTCTGTGCACTTTAAGGTTAAATCAAAACTAAGTATTTTGGCTTCTGATGCTAGCAGAAAGTAACTTGTTCAAATGACTGACATGCTTTTCAATTTCTTGCTCACTGTGCTGTCATAAGAACTCTTTCAAAAGATGTACCAATGTTACACTTCCTTTAATAAACTAGAAGGGCTTTGGGGAAAAATGATAGAGGGATCTTTATTTGTAATACTTTTCAGTGGGAAAAATTGCTAAAGGAAATCTGCTTAGTTTGAACTCTACCTTGAATTATGTATAAACGTAGAATAAGTGCAGTGTTTGGCAGATTTTTTTTTTTTTTCAATGTAAAATGACGTTAAAAGTTCCATAGATAAGTTAATTTACAAGGGAAGTGTGTGTGAATACAAACATTCTTACTCTTACTTTCTGTAGTGTTTTTTTTTTTTTAAAGCCACGTTAACTGGTAAGCGTACAAACATTTGCTAGCTAGTTCTCATTTATCCTGACAAGACAAAATGCTTTTACTCCTTCAAAAGTATTGGAAGGAACTTCCAATGAAATAAACCGACTTTATTTCATTTGTTATGTTTGAAAAATACTAATCAGGTATTTTGTTACTAAGAAGTTATAAATGAATATATCTTTAAGCATCAAAACAAAGGGGGGTGGGGGGAAGGAAACACCATCAGGACAACCCTGGAACAGTGTTGTTTACTCAGCAGCATTTCCAGCCCTGTTCGTTCTGCTGAATCCTCTATCTTGTCTCCTCTTATCCTTCAGCACTGGAAGCACTACTTGTCACCATAGATGGTATGTACCATGTTTGACAGCTGTATCATACAGAAGCCAGACCTTAGAAATAATCTTTCTTCCAGCAGCAGCCTCTTCCTAGGTGTCTGATTCCTTGGTTGGCATGTTCATTGGCTTTTCAGTGAGGCTCCCTGCTGGTAGCTAGGAAACTGGTTAAGAGCCTGTGAGAGTTTGAGGAATATAGGGTACCTGCCCCTCTTCCCTAATTCTGAATTCTCATTTGTACCCTTTTGATTTTGCAATTTTCTACTCAAACATATCTTCCGGTGATCCAGCTATGGGCCCCCGTTCAGATATCTGTGATAATGAATGGCTTCATAATGTAGCTATTTCATCAGCAACCTTTCAGGAATCCACGTTTGTGATTACAAGACAGCATCCATGGTTGTGTTATTGAGCTTTTTAAGGAAGATGCTGGCTACCTTGAAAGTAAAGTCAGCTATTGGACAGTTGAACACTTCTTCTCCCTTCCCCCCCTTACATTGCAGTAGATTAAACTGATTATAAAAACCTTTCACTATATGGGGTATTGTACTAATTCTAAATTAGCATAAAGTTCACAGTAAAATCCTCCCCCGACTCCTCTGGTGTTATTTGAGGCTGCTATGTGAGGGATTCATCTGTTACCACCCCTTTGGGGAAACAGTATCCCTTCATTAGGGTCTTAAATGATGGAATAAGGAGGTGTTAGTAGCTGTATGACATCTCAAGGGTAACCAAACAGTCCTGAAACACATCACAAATTAATCAGAATGTATGCAAGGTGTAAACCTGGCTAATTGGTTCCTATGTGCTTTGTGTGTGCGTATGTACATATATATACACACACACAGAGTAATGTGCAAGTGCTGGTTTTGTATGCCTGGAGGATTGTCAAATTTGGATTCGGATCTAAGGCTGCTCTTAGTTTGATCTTCATGATGTTCATCTATGTATTCACCCAAGTTTCATTTTCTGAGGGCACTGGTTAGGAGAGGTGTGTCCTGTGCGGAAATATCTGGACTAAAACTAGCGCAATTCAAACCGCAAAGCCGAACATGAAACCAAATAGATCTGGGGCCATCTCTGCCGTGCCTGGGCCCCTGTGCTTCCCCGTGGCTGGAGTCGGGCAGGGGGGCTGACTGCCAAACTCCTTCCGCCGCTCCCTTGCCTTGCAAGTCTCCTGTAGCGATACTTCATGTGCGATCCCTTAAATTCGCTAGAGTTTGTTTGCTACTCTCTTAAATCCAGATTACTACTTCCTCGTGCCTTGGAAACAGCGATGTAGCTAATCTATATAAAAGTGCGGGTGACGTGAAAGCAAACAGGAAAAAGAGGATGGGCTCGTTTTTGCCGTTATCTCCGGCTTACAGCCCGAAAGAGTTGCCGGAGCCGAAGAGGCGAGGGCGCGGTGGGGCCGGGAGCGCCCA